ACGAGGAGGGCGAGTACGTGCCGGTCGAGGTCAACCAGACCAGCGAGCTGGACGCCGGCACGTTCCAGCTGCATCAGGGGTTGCAGAGGCGCATAGCCATCACTCTCACGCACAGCTCGGGTGATGCCCTGCCGTGGGACGATGTCACGGCCATGCGCGCCGGCAAGGTTCAGTTGCTGGATAGCGCGGGCAAGACGCCCGACATGGGCTCCGTTACCCCTGATATCCCGCTGAAGCTGGCGTCCGAACCCTCGTTCCGGACCAACGCGAATGGCACCCGCAGCATCACCATGATCGGACAGTGGGACTCCAGCCTGCACAAGTCGCTGCTCCTCGACCGGGTCACGGCGGATAAGTACCGCGTGCAAATGGCCGTGTCGTGGGAGATCAGCTCCGAGAAGCTGGCCGAGCCGATGAAGTTCTCCATGAACGTCTGCTGCCAGATCCTGTCACGGTCCTTCGTCCGGCAGACATCCATGTTCTCGTCGCTGTTCCAGCACGTCCGCATCGTCCACTCGGCGACGGGCATCTTCACGCTGCAGATGCGCCCGGCGCCCATCAAGCGGGTCGGCGACCTGTGGCGCATGAACAGCCAGCACGACTACGTCAAGGGCGAGGAGAACCTGACGGCCTGGACGCCGCGCGGCGTGTCGCTCGTGGCCGACTACATCAGCTCGCGCAAGAAGCGCCGCATGGTGGCCGAGATTGCGGCCGCCCAGTCCTTTCTCAAGCGAATCGGCTTCCGCGACGAGCCCAACGGCCTCGAACAGCCCGAAGATGCAGAGGACCTGCCTCCCCCGCCGATAAACTCTGACGCCGACTCCATCGCGGAGCTGCTCAAGGACGACACGCCCGAACCCTCCCCGGCCGCGTCCCCGGAACCAGCCGACGTTCCCCTACCCCCTGAAAGCGAAACGCACGAAACCCCTCCTGAAATCCCCCAACCACCCGAACCACAACAACCAGACCACTCACCCCTCCTAACCCGCTGCCTAAACCTCTGGCTCCGCTACCCGGACCCTTCCTTACAAATCCTCTCCCCCACCAACACGGACCCGCCACAAGACGGCGTCGCCCCGGCGACGGCCAGCAGCGACCATTTGTCGCAACCGCCACCGACGTGCATCGCGACCGTCGTCCGCGTGCCCAAGAACCCGTCCGTGCTGAGGAGCGGGTACCTGCTCGTGCCCAACGCCGATTCCACGCGGTGGGTCAAGCGGTTCGTGGAGCTCAGACGGCCGTACCTGCATGTGCATTCGGTCGGGCAGGGGGAAGAGGTCGGCGTGGTGAGTTTGAGGAATGCGCGGGTGGATAGCCAGCCGGGGATTTTGGGGCTGTTGAATCTGAATGTGGAGGTGAATTCGAATTCGAATTCGAATGGAGGTGGGGGTGGGGGTGGGGATGGGGATGGTGGTGAGGGGGCTGGTGGGGGTGGTGGGAGTTTGGGGGTGAATGGTTTTGGGACGCCGCGGCGCGGGGTGTCGCCTTCGCCGTCAAGGTCGCCTGTCCCTGCCCCTACCGGCGGGACGGGCAGGTTGATTGCTTCGCTCTGGCCTGGCGGTGGCAATAACAATAACAATAATAACGCTGGCAATGGGGGGAGCGGGTTCAGCACGCCCAACAACAACAGCAGCAACGGTGCAAGCGGGAATAATGGTGGTGGAGGCGGCGGCGGGGGGATCAGCAGGCTCAGCGAGCGGCTGCAGGCCGGGGTGTTTGCCGTCTACGGGACCGACAATACCTGGCTGTTTGCGGCGCGCAGCGAGCGCGACAAGATGGACTGGATTGTCAAGATTGACCAGAGCTTTGCCATGGGCGGCAGCGGGACGGTCAGTGGGAGCGGCAGTGGCGCGGGGAGTCCGGGGGTTGGGGGTTGGTGATTGCTACTCATCTAAGATGGGGGGGAGTGGCTGGTGATGAGACTGGGTGGGTGAGAACTGGGGTGGGTGATGAGGGCTGGGCGGGTGATAGATGGTATGGCTGGGTGGGTGGGTGGATAGAACGGGGAAGTGCTTAACAGGGCTTTATACAGCTGCTACTTATTTATTTCTAGGGATACCCAGGGGATATGCTCTCCCCTTTTCCTTTTCTTCTCTTCAGAGGCGGTTTCTTGCTTGGGCGAGTCGAGGCAAATGGGGATACGAGCGCACGAACGTTATTCTATGCCGTTTTCCGGCTCCGGCTCTCTTTTGTTTAATACATGATGATAGACGGGCGTGATGAGGTTAATGCAGATTGCGGCACGCCAACATGAGAACTGGGGCGAGGCCCTTTCTTGGTTTCTTGTTGGCTATCTGGGCTGTACCAGTATGGAAATATGTAATAGCATGCTTTCGTTATTATACCCCTAGTGAGCATCACCAGTGAAGGAAAGCCAGGGGCTGGAAGGTTATTTAGGCTGTCTTGAGATGAAACGAGCATTGAAGAACCCCATGACGGTTTGGATAGTACAGCCTCGCAAGTTGATGTGGTGTTGATCATGAACTGTCTGTGCCCAGGAGTTGGTAAGAGGACTTTCAGCCTGGGGTCGGAAACAATAGATAAAGGTGCCGCTGCCTCGCTCTTGCGCCAGGAAGTCCGCAGGGTTTTGGGGAAAAGGTATGTGTTTATCAGGTCACTGTCAAATAAACTAGATGGGCCATTTCTAAAGCAAAACTCCGACTCGCAAAAACATTCAAAACATGACCCCTGAATCACCACCAACCATGACCTATCCAACACGACCGAATCCCCTATTAACTCCTCTCACACTCACAGATTCAACAACCACCCAGATAACCTCCCCCACCCAACCAAGCAGTAAGCAATCAACCCCCGACCCTTCAAACAACCTCACCAACTCACCCGTCCCAGAGTCCAGAAGCCCTCAACAACCATAAACCATCTCCACGCCCCCCTCAACCCCCAACCCCGCATCAAACCCGTTCACGAACCCGACCTCCCCGACCCCCGCCAGCTCGAACCGGTACGCCATCCGCTCGCGGCACGCAAACGAGTTCACCACCACCACCCTCTCCGCCCACTCCTTCCTGTCCTTGTCTGCAAACCGGACTGACCCCACGAGCGCCCCCGCCGCGGGGCCGTCGATGGCGTACACGTTTACTGAGAGGGGCTCGCCCCCCGATTGGAGGCGGGTGTCGATTATTTCCCTGTGTTACCCAACGATGTTAGTTATATCCGAGTCTTTTTTAGGTCGGGGCAGCGGGAGCAAGTCGGGAGCTAGCTGTAAGGCCCGGGCGAGTGGGGGTGGTAGACATACCAGTGCGGCGGGAACACGGCGCGGAGGGTGCAGGGCCCCGGGGCGGATGGGGGTAGGGTGAAGGTCAGGGTTTGGGTGGTTGTGAGGGAGAGGTCGGGGCGGTTGAGGAGGTTGAGGCGCGGGGTGGAGGGCGGGCGGAGGCGGGTGCAGGTGGTTTTTGGGGTGAGGAGGTTGAGGTTGAAGGGGGTGGTGGTTGGGAGGGCGGTTGTGAGGGATGTGAGGGATGTGAGGGAGATGAGGAGGAAGGTGGTGAGGGAGAGGTGCATTTTGAGTGGTTGTTATTTATTCTGAGCGTGGGTTGTCGGTGTATTAGGCTCAGAGGTGACTCGAGAATGGAGGGTTTGAGGTGTGGTAGAGTGGAAGTTGAGACGATAGATTGATGGCGGACTTGAAGTTGGTTGTCCTGGTGAGGAGCTGCTGGGGTTGGAGATGTGATGGAGATGAGGACTCTGGGAGAGGGGAAGCCGGCGTCTTATATAGACCGATGGGACTTTGACATCCATGATGCATCTCTCATATTTTCAATGGCACCATGGTAACGCCACTCTCTCTCTCCATCATGGCCGTCGGTCGACCTGCATGACTTGGCTCGGTGAGAACGGCCAGCGATCAGAGCATCGCCATCTTCACCGGGCATGTTCTGCTGAAAATAGCAGTGTCAACCTTGCGAGCGTCTATTCAGCAACATAGCGGCCGGTGGTCGATGAGTCCGTTGAAGCCTGCCCGCCAGCCGTGTGGTGGCCGTGAAGTTGCTCGTGGCGGAGAGCAATATGTCGTCCTCGTATGCGTCCGCTGCAGTGCAATATCTATTTCCAGGACTACTGTACAGGGCAATATGCGGGCCGGTTGCCAGGCCACGGCCGGTGTTGACTGCAGTCGAGGCGGAGTCAGCAAGCTGGGCTTCAGGTTCATAAACTGAGCCTCGCCAACTGTCTGAAGTGCTAAAGCTTCTGTTATACCGTGGATATTCTCGCCGTCTTGTTTTAACCCCCCCCTGTGCATCACCACATCGTTGTCCTATCAAAACAACGGGGATTCGAAGCAGCTCACCTCCCCTGCTTCTCAAGAGGTTGTGGTCAGCAGAGCTTGAATGCAACCCAAGGGTCGCATGGAATATAAGTCGTGGCACTGGAGCCCTCGTGTTGGGTAAATGCCTTTTTGCCGAGCAGATGCGGCCATACGGTATGAACACGGAGTTGAATGCCCTCGGCGCGGCTCCAAGCGCCGACTGCGGCCAACAGTAAAGCACCAGCCTCAACCGCGACAAACTCGGCATCCTGAGCTTGGCTCTTTCGCAGGCAGCTAACTATTTTACAACGAGGCAGTGCTTGCTGCATAGGGCCCAGACGCTGGCCGGCTCGAGGCTGACACCTGACTTACTGAGCTTCATCTTGCTAGGCCCAACAATTCCGGAACAAGGCTTGTAAACATGTTGACAGCCAGGTCAATAGTTTAGGTTGGTCAGGAAAACAGGGAGACCAGAGAACCAAAGAGGGTTGGAATAGTTAAGTTGGCCTTAGGGGTAAACCCAAGAGTTTATCTCTAGAAATTAGGAGATAGCAAAGGGTTGGAATAAGGTACTTGGTAAAAGATAAAGGACTTTTGAAACGCAATAATTACTTGAGGCAGATCGAGAGAGCAGTTGCGTCCCTCTCGATGTCACTCAGGGGGGTGCTTTCGGCGACCTCAATTCGCAGCGGGGCTTTTGTAGGCCAGCTCTGAAAGCGTGTTATCATCCAATGGCTGGATGGCCGAGTGGTCTAAGGCGGTAGACTCAAGAATCAATTCTTCCCCACAAACTGGGGTGTATTCTACTCTCGCAAGAGGCGCGCGTTCGAATCGCGCTCCAGTCATATCCTTTTGCTTGGTTGTCCAATTGCGCCGACACCTTTTTGACTTTGCGCGCTACTAACTAACTGCTAACATAACCACATGGCAACCAACGGTCTTGACTGTTGACCATTCCTGCCTCGGCATCACAAGATCGACAGTGCCTGTGGCTGCCAACAGCATCATGCACTGTGGCCGTAAACACGCGCAGCCAATGGCGGGCGCGGGAGATCCACTGGTGCGATGCAGGGCGTCTGCCATGGTTTGGCATGGGCGTCATCGGGCCGGGAAGGTGCAAGTGTACGAAGTAGCTCAGAATAACCTGTGGAACACAAGCAGTCACAGACAGTGCTTCTCTTTCTCTCACTTGTCACACAGAGCGGCTGTCTGCCTTTCACTCATAACCTAAGAGTTGCCCACAACCAAGCTGAACTCAACCACCCCTAGCCCACCCACCAACAAAATCACCAACATGCCCGCCGCCACAGCCACCACCGCCGCCGGCGACGGTGAGACGACCGACCTCAGCACGCAGTACGATACGCCCCTCGGCCTCGCCCACACCACCATGCAGGCCCTCAAAGACCGCATCAAGCTGCACTACGACCTGGCCAGCGACTACTACCTGAACCTGTGGTATGCCTGCCTCCCTCAGTCACCCACTTACTTTCCTGTCAAAAGAGAGAGAGGTAGGAAAGATACCTAAATAGACAAGACACTCACCACTGCCCAGGGGCGAACACATCCACCACGGCTACTGGCCGACCGCCACCTCCAAGGCAACCGACTCCAAGGAGACCGCCCAGCTCAACCTCATCCGCCTGCTGCTCTCCATATCCAGCCTCTCACCTGTTGCTCCCTCAGAAGATGACAGCTGCGCCACGACCACCACCGCTGCTGGAACGACTGTCGGCATCACGCCTGCCACCACCCCCCTTAAGGAGCAGCCACAGGGCCGAGAGGAATTAAAAGAGCAGCAGCAGCTGCGCATCCTCGACGTGGGCTGCGGCGTGGGCGGGACGACGCGGTACTTGGCGAGTGAGTTGGGGGCGGCGGTGACGGGGATTACCATCTCGGGCAAGCAGGTGCAGATTGCGGGGCGGTTGAGCAAAGCTGCTGCTGCTGCTGCTGCTGCCACGCCGGGTGTGGATGGGACTGGGAACGGGGACGGGGAGGACGGTGCTGCGGATGGGGATGGGGATGGTAGCAAGGCGGAGGAGGGTGACGGGTTCATCCCCCTCGGCGACAGGGGCGGCAAAGTGCGGTTTATCGAGCTCGATGCCGAGAAGATGGGCGAGTTCTTCAGCCCCAGCGGGGGTGGAGGACAAGCGGGAGGGGGGTTCGACGTCGTCTGGATCAGCGAGGCGCTCTCGCACTTCCCCAACAAGGCGCTCTTCTTCCACAACGCGCACAAGCTGCTCCGTCCGGGCGGCAAGCTGGTGCTGGCGGACTGGTTTAGGGCCGAGGGGCTGGGCGAGGGGGTGTTTGAGGCGGATATCAAGCCTATTGAGGGTCTGTGTCCCCCCTTTTTGTGGCTTGGTGGTTACTGATCGGACTCTAGATGGCATGCTCCTCCCGCCGCTGTGTACACAGCAAGAGTATGTAAACCTGGCGACCGGTGCTGGGTTGGAGGTCTTGGGTGGGCCGAAGGATATCAGCAAGGATGTGAGCAAGACGTGGTATGTACAGGAACCCCTACCTCCAGTGGTTTGTATTGTTAAACGGCGGCACTGACTTGTACAGGGACATCTCGTGGTCGCTGGTGCAGAACCCCTCGCTGTGGGCATTCGCCTTCAGTCAGGGGCGAGACGGTATCGCCTTTCTGCAAGCCTTCCGCGCCATGAGGAGGGGCTATGCGAATGGGAGTTTCCGGTACGCTGTCATGGCGTTTGCGAAGCCATGATGGGGCAGTACATGCACTTTGAAATGTGATGCGTACGTTGGGGAAATCAATCGATTGCAGACGGTCAGATAGAGGGCTAGATCACTTGCAGACTTCTCGAAGAGATCACAACACCTAATATAGAGAGCTCATCCCATCTCCTACTATTAATCCGTGTCCCATCAACCACAAACGCCCTAACCGACCACCCAACCCAACCCGACGACCATTAACGCCGGTATCCTCCGCTGTAATATGCACGGGTATTGTAGTTACACGGTTCAGAAAAAAAAAGAGCAAATTTGGCAACCGCAGACCCAGAGCGAGCGAAACCGTTCGTCCGCTCGTACGCGCTCAGATCAGCAACCGCCGCTTCACCGGCGCGGGGACGGGCGTCCCGTCGACCGTATCCCGCTTCTTGAAGATCTTGCCCAGGGCCTGGATCTTGCTGAGGAGATGGCTGTTGATAGTTTAGTTAGCATCAAACCTGGCTGGTAGGTAGTGGCTGCTTGGGGTTGGGAAGAAGTGTAACTGAGCGCGGCGAAGATCATGGGCAAGACGTGGCTGCGCTCCGCAGACGAGTAGCCACAATGGAACTGGTCGCCCGGACGTCATGTACGTCTAGTAATGCATGTAGACGAGGAGGAGAACAGGAGGGAAGTAGGCGTACTTGATGGGCATGTGGCCGCGGCTCTCCTTGACGGCCAGGTCGATCTTCTCGGCCTGCGCCTCGTGGTCGCGGAAGTGTGCCCGGATCAGCGCCTGCGCGTCCTGCTCGTCGGCCGACCGGACCACGTAGGTGCAGCCCTCGTGCTCGCACGTCCAGGTGCCGTCGGGCCCGCTTGGCGACGTCGTGGGCATGCGCTCCGCGTGCACGACCACCCGGACCGCGCCCTCGGGCAGGGGGAGCCGGGAGCCGACGGCCGAATCTTCGCCCGTGGCGGCTTCGTCGCCGCTCGTGTCGTCGTCGTCCTCTAGGTCGTCCTCGTCGCTGAGGGGGTGGCTGACCTTGGCTGACTTTTTGCCGCGGCGGCCGCAGTTGGGCTGGTCATCGAGCTCGGAACGCGGCCGTTTCTTCGAGCTGGTCGCGAGGCGCAGGGTTGCCCCTTTGCCAGACCGGCGGTTGCGCTGGGGTGCAGTATAGAGCTCCGCGATATCTTCTTCCGACTCGCTCTCATTCTGCACGGCGGGTTTGGTCCTGGCTTTGAGGTTGAGGGCCGGGGGCAGTTGGGTAGCCGCTTTGGTGGAGGGGCCCTGTTTGGCCAGCTTGGTCCGGCGGAACGTCTGAGGTGGGATGTCCTCGGGCTTGATCGGCTCTGTCGGCTTCCACGGTCTTTTGGCAGCGCCCGTCAGCCACACGTACCACGGCGTGCCCTTCCACTCCAGGCCCAGACGCGGCAGGAGGTCCTTGGCGTAATAGGCGAGGATGTCTTCGCGCTCGCTGTAGTGGCGGATCTTGCATCTGAAGAAGACCTCGGAGTGGATTTTGGACGGCGCGGCTTTATGAATGTCCTTCTCGCTTGCGATATCCCGCAGGACCCCGAGCAGGCGGTCGACAGGGGACTCGGCGTCGGCATCGGACATGGGGGTATCTCTCGGCGGATCAGGCTTGGGCGTCTCGGCGGGCGCCGGGGACGGCATTGAGCTGACAGGTTGAGCGAACTGCCGGTATCTCTCGGGCAACGGCACGGGGGTTTCACTCGTCTTGGGCTTGGGCTTGTTGGCCGGCTTTGCCTGGGGGCTGCGCGAGCGATCCAAGGCAGGACCGCGCATGTTGTCTTCGACCTCGCTGTTTCGGCTGCTCGCTCTGGCCGATCTGCTTCGCCGGTTCCGAGCAGCCTTGGGTTCATCCGAATCCGTCATCTCGGGGGGAGGGGGCGGGGGAGGAACCAATCCGTTTGCGATATCGGCCAGTGTCTTCTGTACATCCTAAGCATTGTTAGCTGTGGAGGTAGAGTGCTGGTTGGAGAGGTAAACGCACAGGGTGCGCCTCGCGCAGCGACTTGGCAAAGAGCGTTGGGTTCCAGTCCAGATCGACCTCTCTAGTAAAGTGGGAGATCAGGAAGCCGGCCCACTTATCGCAGAGGGCCTTGGCCTCGTGCAGCAGGATGCCGTCGCCAGCGCGGACGGCGTACTTGAGAAATATATCGTCTAATTTCGGCGGGGGCGGCCTGCGCTGCTTCTTCTTGCCTTGGCAGGCCTCGTTGTAGCCTTCGTACACGTCGAAGGCGCTGTAGTATAGCGTTGTCGCCTCCCGCACCTGGTCGTACATGGCCTGGAACTGGGCCGACGGGCAAATCTCAAACCAGCCAGCGGCGCCGGCAACCCAGAGGCTGAGCGGGCTGTCTCCGATCGAGTACTGGTCCGAATGCGGTATCTCGATGTAGGCACTCTTCACGCTCGGGCGGACCACTGGGGAAGTCAGCACACGGCGCGGCGGGAACGGATCCAGTTTGCAGTTGCTTACAGTTGTGCACTTGTTCGTCCTCAACGACTTCGAGGAGGCCACGCACGACTAGGGGCCCTTCGAGGTGGACGAGTAGCGGGTTGGCCAGGGTCTTGCCATCCTTGCGGTAGACTGTGGCGTCCTTGAGCACGTAGCATGGCCAGTCGTTATCTGATATATCGCGCGGTGCCGGCTTCAGGACCGAGGACTCCTTCTTCCACCGGATCTGGGAGTGGTCGATAGGTTCGACAGTCGACGTAGACGAGGCCCTACGCCGTCGGGGTCGGCCCGCCATTGTAGTAGAGGTCAATAGTACGTTTGTAAGCCTCTACAGTGGATCATTATCGGCTTAGGCGGGTATATCGACGAGCGTAGAAGAAAGCGGAGATCGGTGGTTGAAGCCGGGACGAAGAGCGTAGCTTTAGTAGTTGGAACAATACGCCAGCTCTTAACGCGGTGGGAGAAGGCACGCTCTCAAACGCGACTACCAACGCGGACTCGAGAAAGTGGGGTTAATTCAGTAGTGTTTCAAGTATCGGTACAACCTAGTAGGGCCTATCCACTTAAATTTGGGTATGCCCCACATCTAGATAGGTACTCGATACCTAACCTACTTATAGTAGGCCCATTCCCCTCCAATCGATAAGCCGCCGCGAAATCACAAACCGCCCCTGTGCTCGGATTCCTCTTCCCAA